ATATTTGTAGTTTTTTAAACCTTTAAAATTTTCTTCACACTCACAAATCCCTTTTGAAAACATTGGGCCTAATTCACCAATGTCTTCCTAAGTTTCTTCTTAAATGTGTTCTTGAGAAAGGTCCTTAGAAAAAGTTTACATCAGATTCATGACGTGTTCTTAAACCGCTGAATTGTTCACACCTTTGTGCTCTTGAGTGTGTGTAGATTCTGTTCTTATCTAAGAACAAATCCCAAATAAGAAAACACTGGTGTCAGAATCTTTGTAAAAACTGTGTAAGTGGGTTTTAAGAAGAAATTTCTTCTTAAGAACAGTTCTAACAGTTCTACTTCTATGGAATTGCTCAAAGAATCCTTTGTGGCACCTTTGTTAAGAGGGTAAAGTCACATTTAAACCTCACATATCACCCTAAATCAGCTTCATTGTAGAGCCCTTAATTTATTTGTCAGTCTTTCATGAAGGCATCAAATATTTACACCTAAAGAGTCAAACTACTCTGGTGATGATGGTATATGGACCATTGTTCATAAATCAAATGCATTATTACACATGACAACTAAATGCTACAGACACTTAACCCATTAATGTCCATATAAGGAATTCAAAATTTACTTTGGTCTATATGTTTTGAGATCAGTCAAACCATCATATTAAATCTAGACTTTTAGTTACTTGCAACTTCAGACATTTAACAAAATAGAAAGTCCAGATTTGATTGTAAATACAGGTATGAAAATTAGATGTAGTAAAAAAATTAAATAGTTGAATTAATTTGAACAAGTGAACAAGTTCTGTGGCATCTGTTCTCACCTTGCTAGATTTAATTGCTGGACATGAATGAGTTGAGGTCGTTTTAATGCTGAACCTTTTTTTCCACATATGGCAAATACATGTGTTTATCATGGTAAATGATTAGCAGCTATGCAAGCGGAGTAAGAGGATTTGTCATTTTTAGCAGGACCATGGACAGCGACATCATTGGACAGGTCATCTTTAAAGTGACACTTATTTTATTTTAGCAGCTGTGCTCTGATATTAACCCCTTATACTGTGGAAAGTTCCAAACGTCAGTTCCTTACTCTCACAGCTAAAGTGCAAAAGACCACCCTTCATTTATTTCATTTCTAGCCAAAATAGCCATTAAGTACAAGTTCATTTTTCAACATAGGACAAAAAGCAGAAAACAAATATTTAACAGAAATTTACACAGAAACCTTTACAACTAAATCTAATACCAAAAAATATGTCAGTATTAAGTTTGTTCACCCTTTGTCTTTATTATAGCTTCCATTGTTTTCAGTAGACTTGCTTTCAGTTATTTAAAGAAATCTGCAGGGATATTTTTCCACACCTCCAAAGTTCAGTCCTATAAGCTGGTTGCATTTTTTGCTACTTATGATCCAAATGATTCCAGCAGTGATCTACAGCAAAGTATCTTTTTTTTAAATCTATTTCCTTCTCTCAGTAACAGCTTCTTCAACATCCAACACATCCTTAGCTTAGATCCATAGCTTTGAGCTGTCTTCTCACAGTGGAAGGATGAACAGAAACACCTGTGGATTTTTTCAGATCTGAATTAAGAGTGGAGCTTGATGTTCTCTCTCTCAAAGATGAAAGCTTTATCTGAGGGTGGCAGTTTTGGTGGTCTACCAGGTCTTGCACAGTTATTAGGAGTCCCACTTTCTCTACATATTTTAACCATTTCCTGAACTCCAGTTTCATAAACTCCTTTGTCATGTGACTTTCCCCTGCCTTGTGGAGGTGGACTATTTTAAATGTAGACTCCTCAGAAATTTTAATAAACTTGTGCTCAATGGCTTTTTTGACTTTAAATTAAATAAATGAAGGGTAAACTCTGACTTCTACACAGTGTTCTAAATGACACATTCATATTAGCTTTTTAGAAGTTAGAGAATAATTCAAAGAAGCTGCTGAATAATAAGACATAAGATGAATAACTGAACAATCAGCCTGGGGAGTAAGGGGTTAACATCAATAATATTGCAGAACCGTTTTGCATGTAGTTCTAAGCAGGGGATGGAGGCTGTCTGTTCTTTTCATTACTGTGGAACACAAAAAGTGCCCAGGACACAAAAAAGCGCTATTTCACTTATTTATAATGGTGAATGGGAAAATATTTAATGAGCACTAGGCAAGATAACACAACTCAACATCATTAATTAAAAATATTCCTCTCACGGTCTCTCCCAAGTCTTGCCATCTTGAGTTAAATTCTGTTGTTTTTCGCTTGCAATGTTGTGCATAATCGATTAAAGCCACAATAAGGGATTTGTAGTCAGCCGTTTTTGTTTCCAAACAAATATAATACTTCATATTCTCAATAATTCTCTAAAATTAGAAATTTTAGATGCTCATTTGCCAAACTGAACTGATTCTAGCCTATTGTGTGAAAAGAAATTAAGCTTTTCAGTCTGTATTTTTACTCACAATACTGGTGTAAACAAACAATTCAGTGCTTTTAAATGAGTCTGGCTGTGATTCTGATGGTCGGTTCTTGCATTCAAAGTTTTATCAATTACATTTTGGGGGACAACGTGTTCTCCAGTCCCTTCCTTCTAAAAAGCATTTCAGAAAAGACAGTGTTGCAGTTTTCTTCCTTTTGAAATCCCTAATTGTTGCTTTAACAAGCTGATAGATGTGCTGAAAAACTAATTATGGTACAAAGTCTACGCATGTTTGATCTAGATTTCTTTTGACCCATATCCATTTAAACATATGATGGCATGAATAATACATTGTAATCACGAGAAAGGCATTCAGCTGAGCAGTGCACACATCAATCCCCCCTTCACATACATTTGACTCAAGTGTTTCTTACTGACGCAGTATTCAGTGGTTAATATTCAGTAGTCAGTACTTCAGTAGACTATTCACATTTCAGTACTCAATTTTTAGTATTTTTACTTTACTCAGTACTTAGTGTTCAGTATTCAGTATTTAAATTTCAAACTATATTCGGCATTGAGTACTTAGTATTGTGTATTTAGTATTATTTACTCAGTATTCAGTGCTGAATACTCAGTATTTAGTGTTCACTATACAGTCCTCAATATTCAGTGTTCAGCATTCAGTATTAGGTATTCAGTACCGAGTATTCAGTACTCAGAATTCAATAGCTACTTAATATTCAGCATTCACTACTCAGCATACAGTACTCAATATTCATTATTCAGTTCTTAGTAATTCAGTACTCTGCATTAGTATTTGGATCTCAGGACTTTGGTAACTTTACATTTAAAGGCTGTCTATATAGGGATTTTATAGCACATGCATAAGCACTGATTGATGTATTTATAAGGCAATAGTTGAATATTTATAAGCAGTTTATGCCAGCAATTGTGAGATGACATAAGTTGTTTTATGATGTTTATGACTTTGTATTACCATAAGTGCCCTTAACCTGAAGCAACAGACATTTGTTACATTTATAACATTGTTATGAAGCATCATTCTGAAGTAAAGGAAGAGGCCTTGTTAAGAACACCAGATATCAGTGTTATATTTTTCTACTCAGGATGACTCAAAATACTTTCACTTTTCATACCTAAAGCTGCACTGTGTAAGTTTTTTTGTTATTAATGAGAGAAGTAGCATTACTGAGTCAGGAAAAAAAGATGCTAAAGCATGGTGTCTACAAAAGCCTCAAATAATCATTTGAAAGTTAGAGGTGTTGAGTCAGACACAGGAGATTTTCAGCCCACATCAAACATCTTTACACATTAACATCACACATGCTCAAAAAGAAGGTCTGCTGTGATGTTTAGGTCTTAAATGCAAAATCAACATTATACTGATAAATATGTGATGACAATAGTAGATAATTCACTCACACCCTCAGAGGCACATCCTGGATAAGTTTTGACTGAGTTCTCTTTGAATACTTCTTCAATGTGCTTGCAAGCATAAGACTCATCCACTGGGGAAAGAGTCAGAAGCATAACTAGCGTTACAAATACCCAGGTCTGTATCATCTTTGATTTCCACAGAGATGGTACTGATCTTCTGCTGTCTGAACTGTGCTGAATCACAGCACTATAACACCTCTCTTGTTAATACACACTGTGCAATATTTCATAACCTGCTACTGTAATGACACTGTGCACTTTAGATTCCCAACACTGCTGCTGCTCCTGGTTGTGTTTATACTCATTGTGCTGTAAATTACCTCATACCACTTACTGCAATACCTGCTCTCGTGTAAATACAAAAATTCTCTTATATGCTATGTAAATATGCATACTTATGTCTATCCTTTTATTATTTCTGCCTAATTTATGTCTATTTATGCTTAATATATGTGCAATTTTATGTCTTGCTACTGTAACACTGCAATTTCCCTTCAGGATCAATAAAGTTCTATCTATTTGTCTAAAATGTTTTTCCACACGTTGTGTGCAATTACACATTTCCACCAGAGGAGTCTCCAAATCCCCAAAACTTACATTGTGTAGCTTTAAGTACATTTAAAAGCAAGTCATTCTGTCTTTTGCCACTGTAGACTAGACTGCAACATCCTTTTCTTCATAAAACATCAGATCATCTTGCGATTGCTAGTGTAAGTCATTCATAAACATTCAGGTTTGGCTTTATAAATGTTGTTCAATTCTTATGCATGTGTTATGAAGTCTCTATGTAGATAACCTTCAAATAAAGTGTTACTAAAACTTCCGTATTTGTGACCCACTATTCAGTATTCATGACTCAGTATTCAGTAGCTATTCAGTGCGTGGTACTCAGTATTCAGTACCATGAACTCAGTATTCTGTGGTGCTGAAATCTGGGTATTTAATACATTTCCAGGCATGTAAACAGAGAATATTTTGGAGAAAGAATCACAAACACATTACAGAATTGACACTTTCTCTCTCTCTCTCTCTCTCTCTCTCTCTCTCTCTCTCTCTCTCAGCAGGTAAACACAAACACCCGCGTGTGCGCATCATGTCCCAGTGGCCTCGGCTCGAAAAGCGGCCCCCCCACCCTCAGCTGCTCGCCGAGCTGCTGTGGCACATGATCTTTTTGAAGGCTTTTCTGAAGTCCCTGTTGAAGATGGTGTAGATGATGGGGTTGACCGAGCTGTTGCAGTAGCCGATCCAGAAGAACAGGTTAAAGAGCGTGTCCGGGATGGTGCAGCTCTCCCTGCATACGGCATGCAGGCTGTAGGTGAAGAAGAAGGGGAACCAGCAGAGCACGAACACGCCCATGACCACGGCGAGCACGAAGGTGAAGCGCTTCTCGCGCATCTGCGCCGCTCTGCTCTTGGACAGCGCCGGTCTGCGCGCGATGACATCCTCCAGCGCCGCGCCTGCCGCGCGGCTGCACGCCCAGGGCACGCGCTCGGGCCGCGCGCCCGCGCCTCCTCCGCGCGCGCTGTCCGACACGCAACTCTCCTCCAGGTCGATGTCGTCGAGCTCTCCGCGGCGCCGGTCGCAGGTGGTCTCGCCGGCGCTCCCGCTTCCGTTGCCGTTGCCGTTCACGTTCGCACTCCTGCGCGGGAACCACGTCTCGGAGCGCGAGATGGCGCGCGGCGCGCTGCTCTTGGCCGCGAACACGGCCGCCGCGCGCTGCTTGGCCACGCGGTAGATCCTGCAGTACACGGCCACCATGATGAGGCCCGGGCCGAAGAAGGAGACGGCGCACGAGGACAGGATGTACCACGTGTCGTTGTTGAGCGAGCACACCAGCTCGTCGTGCTCCGTGAGCACGAGCGGCGGGAAGGAGACGAGCGCGGACACGAGCCACGCGGTGGCGATCATGGCCTTGACGCGGCGTGGAGTGCGCCTGGCGTTGTAGCGCGCCGCCTCCGTCACGGCCCAGTAGCGGTCCAGGCTGATGGCGCACAGGTGCGCGATGGACGCCGTGCAGAAGAGCACGTCCAGCGCCAGGTAGAGCGCGCACCACGTACTGCCGAAGTACCAGTAGCCCATCACCTCGTTGGCCAGCGAGAACGGGATGACCAGCGTGGCCACCAGGATGTCGGCGGACGCCAACGACACGAGGAAGAGATGCTGGGGCGCGCGCAGAGCGCGGCTCGTCAGCACGGCGGCCACCACCAGCGCGTTGCCCACCACGGTCACAAGGATGACGAGCGCCACGGCCAGGATGATGAGCGCGGAGGCGCAGCGCGAGTGAGGGGCGGCGCGCGGCGCGCTCGTGCCGTTCGGCTCCGCCAGCGCGGGCTCCGCCATCCTGCAGTCCGCTCAAGCATAAGGGTTAATCCCAGTGGCCACTGTGGCCAATTAGGAGCGTGTCCAGCGACGATCCCCTCCCAAAAATTAGTGTGAATGATTTCCTTCCCAAAAACTGGTGTTATGGAAAGATCTCATTCCAAAAACTGGTGTTATGGAATGATTTCCTCCTCAAAACCGGTGTTCTGGAATGATGACTTTCCAAAACACTGGTGTTCTGGAATGATGTCTTTCCAAAGAAAACCGGTGTTCTGGAATGATTTCCTCCCAAAAACGTGCGTACAGGAACGATTTTCTTCCTAAAACGCGCGTTCAGAGATGATTTCCACTCGAATGTCTTCAGGAATGATTCCCGTCCATGCGCGTGCGTTCAGGAATGAAATCCTCCCGAGAGCATGTGTTCGGGAACGCGCGGCTGTTGGGGTCTTTTCCATCGTCATCGCTGTCCATTGCGGACCGGATAGCAGGGCAAAGGTGTGTCCAGTCACGCCTGGTCATTCTGACCTGGGAGGAGAGTAATGGAGGGGTTAGCAGTCCTGGCGATGAGGAGAGGAGAGAGAGAGCGGGAGAGGAAGCAGACGCTGGCTCGGCGCGCGCGGCTCCTCGTTTCGCTTAACGAATGTGGGAGTGCTGAAGTGGGTATGTCATCTTAGGTTATGCGCTTATCTGCGTGTGTGAGGGAGGGAGAGAGAGAGACAGAGGAGGAGCGGCAGAGAGAGAGAGAGAAAGAGAGAGAGAGAGGAGACTGTGGACGGGTGATATCGAAAAAGGGGTGTGGCTCCTACTTCTGCGCTTAAGGCGCTGTCAAAGTACCCCAAACACAAATATTTGTTTCAGAAGGGAAGCTGCCTATGTGCGACACCATGTGCAAACTGCATAGCTGATGTGGCAGTATAGCTTACTTCATATATACTGCGGCAAAACTGCATGACAACACGGTAGACGCGGAATGAGAGCAACGTATGAAAGTTGAGCTTGCCTGTTGCGGTGCATTGCACTGCTTACAGTGGATGCCTCAGTACACAGTGAACTGCCTTTCTCTACACTCTACAAAGGCAGCAGTCCAAGTAGGTGACATATCACCAAAAGTTTACATTTACATCACATTACATTAGATCACATTTGTATGGGCAGGTTTGATTTTGTGCTTGACCTTTTTTATTCTGCGTTCCTGACCTTTGGCCACAGAAAAACCAGAGACATTTAAAGGGTGTTTTTAGACAGCACAACAATAAGTCTTCATCAGATTTAAATCAGAATACAATATCTCTTCTACTTGTCAACACAAATGTGGTATCGATTGAAAGATTATGTGCTATGAAAGTATATCTGCTTGCTATCAGTAAAAAATAATGGTGACACTTTATTTTGAGTGAAAGAAACAAACACTCAACACACTCTCAGTAACATGTCAAAAACATATGAGGGTTAGGATTAGGTTTTGGGTTGAGGTTAAGGTTAAGGTTAGGATTAGGGTCAGGGTTAGGGTTAGGTTTTGGATAACGTTGGGTAAGGTTAGGTGTTGTGTAAGGCAAGTAACAAATTAACAGTACATCTACTTAATGTAAGTAATGTATCAACAGTACATCTTCACAGTATTTACTTCCGTGTAATCAGATGCTTCACTACTGCTGCTTCACTGATATGTTGTTGATGTGTTACTGATGATCTGTTTAGAGCTTATTAATCATCTACAAAGGACCAATCTGAATAAAGTGTGAGCAAAATAATTAATATTGAATGATTACAGGTTTAGTTTGTTGTGTTTATTTTGTCTATATTGGACCATTTGCAAGGAACAAATGAGAAATGTTTCAAGTTAAGTTATTCAATAAATATCTATCAGCAGTCCCTGGGCAACTGATAAATGCAGCTGCAGCATCTAAGGCTGGCTTTGCACTATGCAACTTTCATGCAGTTTTAGACACATGAAATTAAACTGCACCTGAGTTGCATAATGTAAAGCGTCATGCAGCTCACTTGAAACTCAGCTGCAACAGTTACGAACATCTCATCATCATGGAACAAGTTTTGTGAAACACAACACCCATAACACTTTTAACAACATACTTTCAAATGATGGATTTCACTGGAACAGTGAAAATAAAACAGGTTTATTGAGTGGTTGAAAGGAAGTGGGAAAGGAAACACCACAGATGATACATATTGATATGGTCTGTAATGTTATAAAGTGAATAAGTGTCCTTAAGCATGGGTTCTCTTGGTGTACATCACAATTTCTTTTTTAATGTGTTAACCCCTTAACATTCACAGCTCCTCAGACTTCTGTTACTCACTCCTACAACATAATGGCCCATATGTTATCTTGAATTTTATTATATTTTATTTTTTCTCCTGAGGTCCACTTCACTTAATTTACTTGAGTTGTGATGTCTGGCAGCCTGATCATCAAAACTGCCATACCAGAAGCAGAATATACAGTTCTTAAGGGTTCATTTAGCTACAAGGAACCCCACAAGTATTTTTTTTAACTTTTTTCCTTTTTTACAGAAAAATGTCTTACAAATTGATAACTTTGCTTCCCAACAGTAAAAAAAAATGCTTTTATTTTGTTTATTTCACTTGATTTATTCTCTATTTATAAACAATATGTAACTGTTTAAATATTACTATTTATCATATAGTTAGTTCAAAGTCATTTTGTGTTTTAAAACATTTTTTCTGACCAAAATGAATAAAATATTCATTTTCATCCTTATATACAAAAAAATATCACTGAAGTGGGTGAGGACCCCCAAAGTAGGATGTCAGTTAGGCTCACTGACTCTTGAAAATAAAAGTTGGTTCTTGGCTTCAGTGTACATTTAATTAAATTCTTCTTTGGTGGAAAAGGTTGTTTAAACTTTAAAACTGATTCTCCACACTTGCACATCTCATTTCCATCATCTTAAAAAAATGTACAGCTCTTTTGATCATGCATAAAATGTGGTAAGATCCAACAACGCTTGATCTCTAGGCTACAAGCCTTCTTCAGTTAATCTTTCTTCTTTGTACTGTAGAAAGCTAAAAATAATTGTCCTATATTTCGTCTATAATTGGCCTAACATGCATAACCAAAACGCTAAACAATGATGGTTTTCTTGTTTTATTAGTCTTAATCACCTCCCATGATGAAATCAGACGGAGGCTATTAAATTGGCTGGTGTACATCCGTCTGTTAGTCATTACTGTGGTTATCTTCTACTTTCACTTCACTCGCGCATGTTGCAGTGATTGCGTCCAGTTTTCTGAATGTTCTGCCTACACGGACTGAGTGAGACTTATTGTTTGTATTTTCAAACATACATTACATGGCCAAAAGTATGTGGACACTCAAACATCACATCCATGTGTGCTTGCTAAATATCTCATTCCAAAACGATGGGCATTAATTTGGAGTTTGTCCCCCCTTTGATCTTCTAAAAGCTCTGCACTACATTTTGGAACATGGCTCCGAGCTTCCACAAAGTTGGAAGCACACAATTCTCTAGAATGTCATTTTATGCTCTAACACTAAGAGTTCCTGTTACTTGGAACTAAGCAGTGCAATCCAGGCCATAGAAAACAGCCACAGACCGTTATTCCTCCTCTATCAAACTTTACAGTTCAGGCATGTAGCATTTTCCTGGCATCTGCCAAAACCTAGATTCCTCTGCCATGACTGCCACATGGTGGCATGTGATTCAGCACTCCAGACAGCACATTTCCAGTGTCAGTGTGCTTTGCATGGTGAAATGGTTCTTCAGATTCTTCAGCTATTTTATATTTTATTATTTTTTCCCAACATGATAAATTCGGCAAAACTGTGTTTTCTGAAGAGTGTTCTCTGTACAGAACACTTAGAAATGAAACAAAACATGTCATTTGACCAGGAGTGGCCAAATTGCATATGACTGGATATTATGGGAAAAAAGTTGTATCTGTGGATTGTGCAAATAGAAATACACACAATAATATTAATACACAGTAAAATGTAACTTAAAATGGAATATAACTGACTTTTGAATATAGCTAAATTGCACTGCATATGACTTAAAATCTCTTTTATTACTTACTAATCTTTACATGCAGGCCCTGATTATCCTAGTGAGCAAGTATGACTAAATCTATACAGCTCTCTTGACTCATGGTAGGAACTTTACTAGAAGCGCTAAAGATCAGCTTTCTTTTAAATGTGTTTTGAATTTGAAGCTGCAGATATTCAAAAGATGTGCCTGGGGGATGTGTAAAAGTGAGACCCAATACCCAGACAGTAGATGATACATATTTTCCAAAGCCAAACACAAAAAAACACTCATCAAAAAAGCTGCTGCGTTGTTGTCAGCAGCAGTGCACTGCAAACTGTCTACTTCTGTGTGTTAAGTGATCAAAGACGAGATATAAGTGGTTCTTAAAGATTTGGTGCTCAATGGTTTTCTTTATGCAACCAGAGAAGATGAACACAGTTGCTCCTGTACAAAAAGGAACGAGAAGATAATAATGGTATTACCTAATAGTGCTACACATGGTGCACTGGTGTAACCTGATCAGAATTTAAGCAATTATGACTAAATCTTTATTTATTTATATATTTATGATCTTTAATTACAACAAAATCTATATTTCTTGGCTAGTGCAGTTTAACACAGTTTAAAGGTCATTTTAAATAAACAATATATTACTATTTAACATTACGTTGGGCTACGTTGGAAATATTCCATTTAAGAGGCTTGTTTCTAGAACTGTGGCAGTGAGTAGGCTAACTGAATCAGATTATATTTTAAATCCATAATGCATTGTGGGCACCCATGGGCTTCATGCGGTGTGGGAGAGCATAGAGGGAGCAGCAGAGAGAGATAATGATATTTAGATAGTTAGATAACCTGATTTATAGCTTGGTCAGACCATTCAAAAACATTTTCCAAAAGAAAAAAATATGCTGTCCAACAGCAGGATTAATAAGTTTCCTGAACACGAAAAAAGGTTCCATATAGGGGCCCACCTAACATTTGTGCTCAGGG